TAAAAAATATGAATAAAATCTTCCTTTGTGGCTCTTGTAGGAATCACCTTTGTGCCAGGAACACCCCAAATGACTGCCAAGGAGATTCTCTATCAGCTGCACACATCTAAGGCCCAATGCATTGTGGTCAACAAGGCTGTGGTTCCACTTGTTGACTCTGTGCTGTCCAACTGCCCCACCTTGAAGACCAAGCTCTTGGTATCAGATAAGAGCTATGATGGATGGTTGGATTTCAGGGATTTGATGCGGTGAGCGGGCACTGATACTAAACAGGGCACTAAAATCAAGAAAATGTCCGACTTTGGAAGGCATATGTGAGAAGCAATGTGGGTAATGTGGAAGGAGAGAGGGGAGCAGGTCAGTAACGTCTGGTCAGTAATGTCTGTCTGACGGGAGAACACTCCCAACACAGGAATGCCTGATCTGTCTTACAAGTTCTCAGTCTTAGTGAAAGTCTTACCTCCCAAAATTGGGAGTGTTAATTCTGGGAGAAGGCTGACCAAGAAAAACACAAAGAGGTTAAAATAAAGTAATGGCATTAATTTGGGAGCCTTAGATCTGAAAATTGGAGAGCACAAATTCAAGTCTTAGCCCAAATTGTGTCCCACTGAGGTCTTTGTTCAGGGATTTTTTTTTTTAATGACAAATGATAAATGAGCAAGACAGACTGCAAAAGAAGCTTCAAAAAAAGCAGGGCATTGAGAAGGAGTAACCTGATGTGAGAGGGGAGCATTACTTTAGATTTAGTGGCTTCTGGGGAGAGAACATTTAAGCTGAGATTTGAATGCCAACATGGCAACCTTTTGAAAATCCATGGGGACCATGTCCTTGGCACAGGGATCACTGAGGGAAAGGAGGGCCGGAGGCAGGAGTGCCCTGGATCTGTTTTGAGGAACAGGAAGGATGCCAAATACGGTGAGTAAGAGAGTGGGTGGACAGGGTTGAAGAGCAAGAGACAGTGATACTAGATGCCCTGTAGATTATGCAGGAAGCCATCTGGGAAACCCTGGAGAGAAGGACTTGATTGGATTTACTTTGTTGACACCACACTCTGGCAGCTGGAGGAACAATAGAGCACAAAAAAGGGAGTAATAAGACTGGGACGCAGGCTGGTGCAGCTGTCAGGGTGAGAGGCCACCTTGGCCAAGAAGGAGCAAACCGACAGGACTCACTTCTGGCACGAAACGAAAAGGAACACCCAAATACTCAGTGACAGAGAGAAATACCATTTGAACTTTAAAATAAATTTTTAAACATGCATGCGTTTATAAAATAATCAAAAAAACAATTTGAAGTTTTAAAATCTATATTTGTATCTAACTTTGATGTTTGTATTGTAGATTTAAAGTTTATAACTACAAGGTCGTCTTGGAAGTCTTTTAAAATCCAATTAATTTTTAATATTCTCTGAAATTAAAGAAAATCAAATTGGCAAACTACCGTCCTTGGACTAGCTGCTTATTTTTTTTAAAGATTTTTTTATTTATTTATGCATACAAGAACTGGGGTACAGGCCAGAGGTGCGGGGGGCATGAGAGGATTCACCAGAGACAGAGTGGGGAGCAGAACGTGAAGACTGAATGAAATACACTGCTGAGGGGAGCAGCGGGTGAGACAGGAGAGGTCTGCTGTGCCATGTGGGTCAGCTCCCTGGCCAGGGATCAAACTTGTGCTGCAGAGGCTGGGATTGCTTCACAGTGCTGTGCTTAACCCCTTGCGCCACCAGGGAGGCCCTAGCTACCTATTATTATAAATAAAGTGTTTTTGGATCCAGGGATGGGTTAGAGTGATCAAGTGAGGTGAGTCAAGAAAGTGCTGGGTTGGGCACCAATATACATTCGCACCAACAGTGTGCAAGAGTCCCTTTCTCAGCACCCTTGCCAACACAGGCTGTTTTCCAGTCTTTTTGATACAGGCTGTTCTTATGAGTGTGAGGTGACCAGAGAGAACCTGCATGTAGAACTCACTGTTGCCTCTTTTGTGACCTACAGAGTCGCCCCTCCTAAGCAGACCTGTGTGGCGACCAAGAGTCAAGATCCAATGGCCATTTTTTTCACCAACAGAACAACAAGTTCTCCCCAAATGGTCGCATTTTCCCACTATGGTTTGGGAATGGGATTTAGCCAAACCTCAAGGTACGCTCCTCACACAACCTTTACAGGCCTGAGAGCTCTTTTCTTGTACAGGCAAGAGAGTGTTTCATGGGACTAGAACTAAGAAGTTTCTTACCCATGACTGCAGAAAATGTCAATACTGAGAAAAGGAATAGGACTGATGAAAGAGTGGAAAAAGATGAAAAGATGAAAAACATAAAACATAAAAAGATGAAAAGTGAATTATTGTAGATCCAGAAATCTAAGATTCTGAGAGACAAAGGAAGAGCAGTAAGTTCATATAACTAGGGAGGGGCCCAGGGCAATTATCCCAAAACAATACACTGCTATATGTTGCCTGTTCTGTTACAGGCACTGGGATGAGTAAGAGTGACAGACACAGAGGTAGAGTCACAGCTAATGAAGGGTTTGGGTCTAGAGACAGCATCTAAGATGAAAATCCCATGTCAGACAAGCCTTTAAAAAAATCTCTAATAGCTCTAAATGTTTATCATACCGTCTCTCGGTAAATCCAATGCACTAAAACGGATTTCTGTCTCTTCAGTGGGATACTCATTGAAGTAATTGATTTAGATGTTTTAGCTTGGTTTTGAGAGGGCTTAGTTTCCCATACATACTGTCAATCCTGCCTGCGATGACTCATTTGAAGATGAGTCAAGTGTTTTTACCCTCAAAAAGTCCATAGACTCATCAGCAAGCAAAGCGTAGTATGTGAGTAACTACAATACATGACAGAAGTCAGGGTTCTATGGGAGAGAGAAAGTACTAGCAGGACTCAGAGGAAAGAGGCATCATTTTCAGAGGAAAGGAGCATATAAAGGATTAGAAGTGAACTTTGTATCTGGAGTTCCATCATATGGCTATGAGGGTGCCAAAGAGCACGCAAAGCAGAGCAGAGTATAAATGGCAAAGCATGGAAGAGAAAAAGCAAGGGGCTAGAGAGAGCGCAGGGTCCCCTTGACTGCAGTCGAAGTCGTGGAAAGAGAAGAAGGAATCACTGAGGATTTTTTAAGCAGGAATATATTATCCTATAACAATAATCTAGAACGCGTGATGAATAGATCAGGAGGCAGAAGGAGTGGCAATTTAGCTCCTAACAGCCAGCACGACAGCTGTGCACATTTTCTAGTCTTCCTCTTCTGCCTGCTAAACCTGGATATGTCTTTGGTGCCACTACTTTACTCTGAAGAAGCTCTAAGTCCCAGGAGGTACCTGTTTCCAGGACAAGAGCGAGGAAAGTGTCGGCACTAAATGGTAGCTCAGGCGTTAAACAGGTAAGGGTTCAAACCTCAATTATGTCAATGACTGGTGTGAACTCAGGCATGTCATCTCAGCTCACTTCAGTGTCCTCATGTGTTAAATGGAATAATGCTACATTTTATGGACTCTCAGATGCACATTTTTTTTTACATTTCACTCTCTTAAATTCAGCAAGTACCTTATGACCAATAGCATGTCCAGGTTTAGCTGGCAGTGCTGTCGGTGAGAGTAATGGCATGACTTACTCTCATAAATGAGTCTCTTCCATGGAATAAAAACAGTATATCTGCCTCCTAGACTTGTCACATTTAAGTGAGCTATTGGAGCAGCATGCTTAGCTCTGTGTCCGGCATGTAGTTGGAGCGGAATTCACAGTAGCTACCATAACATGGACAAGACTGATGGAACCCAGACTGTCCATGGAATTCACTAGACCTGGGTTCCTATCCCAAGTCTGCACTCACTGCCTTGAACGAGCTATTTCATACCTAGAAGACGTTCCCGCATCTATCAAAATGCCAATCCAGTAGGCTTTATTTAAGAATCAGGTCTACTGGAGGTAAATGTTAGCAGCATTTCTCAAGATTACAAACTCACGTGCCCTTTTACCAGCAGCCTACTTCCAGGAATGTTTGCCATAGACTTGCAGCCAAGTGTCCAAAATATCAAGATTCCATGAACAAGATATTCTTGTAACACTGAAATAGCAAAAGGGTTGTGCTAGACAGCTGGAGAAAGAAATAATGCATTACTATCCAATGGAATATTATGTCTCTATCTCCTTGCTATGCAAAGACCTTCGGTATGAATTGGCCAGGAAAACAAGGAGTAAAGGAGAGAGTGTTGAGCATGTTGCTATTTGTGGAGAGGAAAATATGCAGCTTCTTATCACATGTAAAGCACTTGTCACAGTACCAGTACATGGTGTGAGAGCTTGCACATACATGTCGACAGTGGCCAGGCCACGCAGAGAAACAAGGCTCTGACCCAGCGTCTGGAGCAACCAACTCAGGAATCCAAACTTTCAAATGCAGAACGTGCCCAGGAAGCCAGCTGCTGGCTCTAAGCGAGGCTCGGAGGACATCAGACTCCTGCTGGCAGGGAGTCAAATAACCCCTGTAATAATGAGCCCCAAACGGTCAAGACTTGATTAATAACTGACACCTTCCCTTACTTTTTCCTCCCTTCTAACTTAGAACCAGCAGAGAAAGTCACACCTATCACACAGAACAACTCACCTCTAGCTAACCCACCTCTTGCTTTTCCCTCCCCCCTACCCCCACAACCCCCCAACCCCTCACACCCCCACCCCCCACACACACCCCCACACTCCTGTCCTTCCCAAATTCCTCCAGCCAGGGCACAGGGCACGCCTGAAGTCTTCCCCTTTCCCACTACAGAGCCTTCTCACTCCTCTGCCAGCCTTTGCATCTCTGCCAAGATGCAGGTGATGGTGGCTGACTCCTTTGCTACGGCTCTGAATAAATAGCCTGTACTTACTCTCATTTGAGTGGTTAGTGCCCGATAGCTAATCATTATATTGTTGTTAGTACTGCCACAGGGGAACTCAGACATTTTTCTTATTTTCTTTAGACAGTGGATGGACCTCCAGCCGACAGATGTCTTCTGGTATCTGGGGATGCCCTCAGTGGAAGCTTGTCACTGAGCAGTGTGCTGGGAGCTTGGCTCCAAGGAGCCTGCGTGTTTCTGCATCACATGCCAACCTTCTGCCCCGAGACTGTTCTAAACGTAAGACCAGTTCCCAGTGTGGGCTGGAGCAAGGGCCAGAAGGGAAGCACTGGCAACGACCCAGTGACTCAAATGTCCCAAATTGGGTGAACCAAGAATTAAATTTGGAATGTCATTTGAAACTATTCACTACTTCTGAGAACAATGTCCTCTTACTTCTCTGAGCCATGTGTGGTGTCAGGACTTGGCTGCTTCATTGAATTACCGAAAAATAAACTTTCAAAAAGCAATAATGATAAAGATGATATGATATTAATATCAGCCATCATTTATTGACCTGATGTCGAAACTCATTTCAACATCATTTCATCTCCCCAACAACAGTGAGGGAGAGACTGGGGAAACTGAGGCCTAAAAAGATTGAGTAACTAGCTCAAATAATCATAGTGGTGAAACCAGGATTTAAACCCTGGTCTGTTGCACCCTATCCCATGATCCCTAAACTACCTCCACAATCCCAAGTTTTACTAGCAACATCTAGGCCTATTGTTCCTGGGATCCAGAAGTAAATGTCTAGCTGTGTATCCATTCAGTTACCATCTGATGAACACAGTGTTTCTTAGATCCAGAAAGGTAAAGTGAGATTCTCTTCCTTAGCTCGTCAAGATAAGGAAGTTGTCCCAGCTGAGTCTGGAAGTCTGTGATCCTCTCCCCTACACTTTTCCTCCAACATTCTCATCCCCATCTTTACATGTTGATTGGCTTTTTCTTTGGGGTGCAGGCCTTGCACAGATTTCCCATCACCACTCTATCTGGAAATCCAGGGGTATACCAGGAATTGCTTCAACACAAACATTTCATCAGGTAAGAGAGGACCTTCCCAGAGAGAGTCCATGTCTACTCAGGGTATGACAAACAAGACTAGGAACCTTCACTTTATTAAAGTAGACCCAATTCTACCCTTCACTCATTCACCTTTCTTGTTGCCATTTTTAACAATAAATCCATTTAAGAGTACAGGGATTTTCTTCCCTTATGACTTTGAAAGTCCATATCTTCTGGCTCCTCAATATAAAATTTGATTGTAATCAAAAGATTGGGTGTGGCTAACTAATTTGTATGTCTACCTTCAACAAGATAAATTTTATAGACAAATATATTGAATGTAAAATATAGGTCAGCATTAAAGCAAAGGCCAACTCTTCTAGTGAATAGAGATACTTCTAGACCTTTAAAAAATAAATTTATGTCTCTATCTACCTCCATAGAAATATATTCTAATACTGGTGAGAGATTAAATAGGGAGTATCACACTGTATTTTTCACTCCACATTGTACCTTAGACCTTCCTTCAGACGGCTGGCCACTTTCTAACAGTCAATCATTTCTATCAGTTAAATGATCCATTCACTTTTAACACTAATGCTTCTACTCCAGAAAAACAAATGAGAGTCTTCATGGAGACTGATCCAAGTGGAAGGTCTGAAATAGATTTATTTAATAAACTAGAAATAAAAACATCAAGACCACTTCATGAGTACCTCCTACGTATTTGGCAATATCTGTATCATTTTCCCAAGAGTCTTCCTTACAACAGACCTGTTATTGGTAGAAATGTTCACCAAGCCTAAGAATAACTTGTGATGACCCTCCAGCTACAGATCCAAGAGCCTGAAGCATTGTGTGTCTGCAGGAGGACCCATAAGCCCTGGGATGATAGCAAACTGGAAATGCATCACTAAGTTGAACATCTACGAAGGCTATGCGAAGACTGAAACTGTAGGTTGATACTGGACGGTCAGTCAGTTAATACTGTCATTTAACCACACTTGTCCATTTACTATGTAAACACTTTGTCAAAGCACCAGGTGCACGTGCAGATAGCTGGATCTTAAATACATGAGGAGAAAAATGGCTTAAACTAGAGAGACTCTTCTTTGATCATAAGACAAAGGATTATGGGCAAATGAAATATTCTCTCACACTGCTGAGAAAGGAACATGTTAAAAGACACCCAACAGCAAGTGCTAGAGAGGATGTGGAGAAAGCGAAACTGTGATGTTCTATTGTTTGCTATGTGTTTGCACCGGGTCCACCTGCTGTGATGAGTTGATAGTCTTACATATCTTTAGTCTTTGGATTTCCTCATTATCTCTTTTTTCTCTTTGTAATTTGTTACTTGAAAAAGGTAACAAATTGCTGAGATGTTGGTCCTTTCAAATATTTCCCAGTCTGGGTTTTGCTAGTTGCACCCTTAAGGCGTTTAACATGTTGGGGTTCCTCTGCATTTCCTTACAATTGGTAGATAGATCTGGAGGTGTAATCATATCCCTGCTTTATTTTTTTTCTTTTCCTATACTATTTCTTAGGTCATATAATATTCTTCCATCAGGAGGCATATAAGGTGTGGTTATCTCTTTTTTTTTTTTCCTGGCGACATCAGATATTGGTGATTAATGGCTAGGTCAATTTATTCACTCCCTTTTTAAAGGCAAAAACTTTTCTGTATTTCTTTAATGCAGGGGCTGCTCTGTGCCACTTCCAAACAAATGAAATTAAAGCCAGGTTCTCTGGGGAAGCCACTGCCACCTTATATTGTACAGGTAAGAAATCATAGGTAATGAGTATGACAGTTATTGTTAATTGAGCTCTTACTAAGTGCCAAACAAGGTCCTTACCACTTAGCAATGTTATTTCATTTGCTCATGGCCACAATCCTAACACAAGAGTATCATTACTATCCCCAATTAATGGATGACAAAATTGAGGCTTAACAGGTTAGAGTAACTTTACCAAGATTACCCAGCGAATAAGTAGCAACTTCCACTTTCAATCATGACTTCACTGGTGTAAGGACAACCAACATTTGAAGGAGAATTAACAGCAATTCTTCACAAATTCTTCCCAAAAATATGAGGGGGAGTTTTGATGGCTGGTCTCAAAGTGAGAATATCAAATGAGGCCAGGACAATCCAACTGCCGATATCAAAGAGCTCACAAGAAAAGAAAACTACACAGTAATCTACCTCAAAATACTAGCAAACATAACTAGTAGCATATAAATGGTTTATATACCACATGGAAGTGGGATTATTCTAGACATACAAGCTTGGCTCAACATATGGATATCAATCAATATAACATAGCATACTAATAGAATCAAAGAACAGAAATCCATGATCATCTCTATAATGAAGAGAAAAGCATTTGATAAATTACAACAACTATCAATGATGGTGAGGATGTTGAGAAAACAGAAGCACTCTTACACTGTTGGTGGGAATGCAGACTGATCTCTTGTGTGACCCAATAATGCCATTCCTAGGTATCTACCCAAAGAACACAAAAACACTAATTCAAAGCAAATACTGCTCTCCCATGCTCATAGCAGCACTAATTAAATAGCCAAAATGTGGAGACAACCTAAATGCCCAAAAGCAGATGAGCGGATCAAGAAGAGGTGGTATATCTATCCAATGGAATACTACTCAGCAATCAAAAAAGATAAATTGATGCCGCTCTTGGCAACACAGATGGAGCTGGAAGAGATTATGATAAGCTAAATAAATCAGAAGGAGAAAAATATCAGATGGCATCACTTATTGGTAGAATACAGAGAAACTAAACAAAGGAAAAGATAAAACCAAACTTAAAAACTAACTCTGAAAAATTGGTTCTAGAACGGAGGAATCCAGAGAAAGAAGGGAGCCATGAGAATAAAGTTGGGAGGGAGCAGGGTGGATTGAGGTGGTGGATCCCCAGGTGCTTTTGGTGATGGGTGAGCCATAGCAATAATACTTGAAGTGTGTGCAGAAGGGGGCGGAAGGAGGGAAACACAAATAATGATATAAACCAATATTATAACCTTAGTGCCAAAAAAAGTGTTAAAAAAAGGAATAAAGGGGAAGTTTCTCAACAGGATAAATAGCATCTACAAAAACCCACAGCTAACATCACACTTCACAGTGAAAGACTGAAATTTTCCAAGATCAGGATTTACAAGGGAGTTTGCTCTTACCACTTTTATTCAGCACAGAGGTTTTATCCAGGGCAATTAGACTAGAAAACAAAATAGAGAGCATACAAATTGGTAAAGAGGAATGGAAACTATCTCAATTCAAAATGATTAACAATTTGCAAATAGGGCATTTTAAGGAATACACACACACGTAATAAATGATATCAGCAAATTTTCAGGATACAAAACCAAATGCAAAAATCAATTATACTTCCATATGCTAGCAATGAACAATCCAAAAATGAAATTAAGGAAACAATTCCATTTACCATAAAATCAACTTCTCAAATCTCATTTGAAAATTGATTCGCCAGATAATTCATTTTGTCTGCTAGACTTGGACACCTGTTTTTCCCCCATAAAGCAAGTTTGTCTTGGAGGCATGAAGTCTTTCTTACTGCCCCAGAGACTTTCTGACTCTTAGAGCTGGCTGTTCCTATGGAAAAAAATCTAGAGTATTCAGCAAGGACAATTCAGAATAAGAATGAATATTTCTTTCCAAGGTGACAACTTGGAAGGGTATAACCCTTAAAATTGGGTGTGTATTTAACATTTATTCCAAAATGGTATCAGAAGTCTGGAGATACTTGCTACGAGGTGAAAAATCACTGAGTAGAGGTCAGGATGTAACTTTTGCCACTTCACTCCATGATCACACCTGCTCTTTCCCTGCAATTCCTGCTTCCCAATAGTCTGTACTAGTTGGATATTTCATCTTATCCTCAGAATAAAATTCAGAGTGTTCATTTTCTAGATGAGGAAATTGAGCTTTAGAGAACTGAAGGATCCAGGTTGTCAATGTCAGCGGTGGAGAGTAGACAGTCAAACCCCGCTCTTTCCCACTCTGTCCCTCTGATGCAGTAGCCACTGCCTCTCAGTTTGCTGTCTCTACGCCAACCAACCAACCGAGCAATTTCCTAGATCCCTGTGGGGACAGTGAGGTGATAGCCTTGGCTTTAGATCTCCTGGTGTTTTAGGAACAGAACAAATGTTGTGCAAGGAAAAATCCCTTCATGGTTTCTGAATTTCAGATTGTGGATGAAAACTCAAATACCTTGCCTGCAGGAGAAGAAGGGAATATTGCCTTTCGTGTTCAGTGGAAGCAACCCAGCTCACTGTACTATCCACACATGGTAGGGAAGACTTTCCTTTCTCTAAACACTCCCACTGTCATTACAATAATGGTGTCGTCAATCTAGACCATTGCATGATTTGCCAGATACTTTTGTGTCAACATTAATTTTGCAAATTGTCAAATCTACAAAATTTTTTTAAAGATTTATTTATTTATTGGGCCTCCCCTGGTGGCGTAGCAGTTGAGCGCTAGGCTGCGAGGCTGCCCGCAGCCTCTGCAGCACCGGTTCGTTCCCCGGCCACCGATGAGGGTCCCACCAAAAAAAAAAAAAAAAAAAAAGATTTATTTATTTATACAAGCACTGGGTACAGTCAGAAGAGCGGGAGGGTGAGAGGATTCACCAGAGCCAGAGCGGGGAACAGAACAGGCAGACTGACAAAATACACTGCTGAGGGGACCAGCGGGCACAGCAGGAGAGGTCTGCGTGCCATGTGGGACCCACACCGGCAGCCGGGGATCGAACCAGGGCTGCAGAGCCTGCGGGCAGCTTTGCAGCCCAGCACTCAACTGCCGCGCCACCAGGGGAGGCCCTACAAAAATTTTTTTAAAAATAGCACAATGAACACCTGCATGCTTCTCAGCTGTACACACATTGTGAGTATCTTGCCTCATTTGCATTTATATGATTTTGAAGAGATATTTGGGAGACAGTGCAAATACAACACTTTGTCCTGAATTGCCATTACCTGAGAAATTAAATACAATTCCTTCATTTTATCTAATATTTTTGTATATTTCTATTTTTTCCCATTGTCATCAAAATGTATTTCTTAGTTTTTGTAAATCCAAAATGTGATCAAGGATCATTTATTTGGTTTTCGTGTGTCCAGTTCTTTTGACTTAAAACAAAGCTGACCTTTTTTTGCTTTTGATAACATAAACATTCTTGAAAAGTAGAGACCTGTTTTCTTGTTAAATGTCCCTAATTCTAGATTTATCTATTGTGTCCTCATAATGAGACTTGGAATATCCATTTCTAGCAAGGCTATTACTTAGGTGATGTTGCATATTTCTTATTTCTTCTAATTGGGGAAACTTTGTGTTATCCCACTTTGGAACATGATAATTTTGATCCTTTGAGTTAAGGTTTCACTACCAATTCTCTCCATTGTCAAGATGCATTCCCCCTCTTTATGATTATTAAGTAATCTGTGGAGTAACCATGTGAAATTCCATGACTATCTTATTCTCCAATCAACTGTCATCCAGTAATTTTCTGATTCTTTCCTGGATCAATTATTAACATACAGGATGCAAAATGGTGATTTTAAACTGCCATTCCTCATGCATTAATTAGGTGGCATTTTTCTACAAAGAAGAACTTTTCTTTTTTTTCCTTCTAATGGAGATTTTTCTTTTAATTATTCTTAACATAAATATATAATGTAGTCAGCCTTTATGGCAATAAAACTGATCTATGTTCAATATAGAAGATGTTGAAAAATACAGAAAAAGGCAAGGAAGAAAATTCTTTTCACTCATAATCTGCAATTATTGCCCACTGCTAATATTTGGGTATATCCCCTTCTA